AAAACTTAAACACTGTCCTGTGTGGGGTTTTTTAAAATATATTTTTATTGATTTCAGAGAGGGAGAGGGATATAGAAACATCAATTATGAGACAGAATCATTGATTGGCTGCCTCCTGCCTGCCCCACACTGGGGATCAAATCTGCAACCTGGGCATGTGCCCTGACCATGAATCTAACCGTGACCTCCTGGTTCTTAGGTCGAAGCTCAACCACTGCACCACATCGGCTAGGCAAAACACACTATCCTATTTCTGGAATGAAACGTTCCAACTTCTTACCCAATTACCACATTCAGGCCCACTTCAAGATCTTGGTGAGCTGTCTGGCAAGGTACTGAGCTAGCTAGCCCCTCATGGTCTTTCAATGTATGGCCAGATTACAATGATGGAGGAAAAATCGGATAACTGAAAGAACAAACACTCTCCCAGGTGAAGAGGGGAGATGAGGAAAAACACTCAGTGGTCACAAGCCCATAGCATGTTCCACACGCTCGGCCAGTTGGCAAGGACCCTGTATTGGTTGCTCTGGTTCTGCTGTTTCAGACAGCGACCCTTGTCGTTTGTGCTCTCGGCCACTGAGGAGCACTGAGGAGTCCCCTCCCATTGGTGTGGGTTTGGTGGGTGGGGAACTGTAGGAGCTAAGTATTCCCTAGCCTTTGTTTTCCAGGTTTGTGGGTTGTTTTTTTCTGGCAATACAATTCCCTTAATCATTAGGAAGCTTTCAGTCAATTTGCATTCAGTCATCCCCAGAGCTATTAACCAAACTAGAGACCTCCCTGAAGTTACAATTCTTGAATGGAGTCCCTGGTGATGGTGTTGGGAAGCAGGAGGGGTTGTCTCTTAGCAACAGGCCTTGGTGCTCTGCACATCCCAGGAGCCCATGGTTCTGTGGCCTCTAGTTAGGCCTTTACCACAGGGCAGTTCAAATCCCTACTGTATGGTGGGAGGCACAGTTCCTTTGCCCCTTCCCACTCAAACTGCATCCCAGTGGGAGGCCGCTTATAATGAAAGCAGTGGTTGCTTCTGTGGAGCTGGGAGGGCACAGCAGAAGGGTTGCAGGAGGGTCTGGGGAGTTAAGAGCCTGACAGGCCCCAGGCTTGTCTCCCTCCGTGTTTCCAGCTTCCCTGTTGTTGCCTGGCTGACTGTAGCTAGAAGCAGAGAACTGGCTCTTAATTATCTGACTCTCAGCCATATTGGATTGCTGGCCTCAGGCAGAAAGAGCCTCTCTGGGCATAGCAGCATTTTCTTCCTCTGCTTTCAGATGGGCCAGAGCGTGTCTTTCTTATTGGACCTTACTGAGGCCACACCCCAACACGGTGACATTTTTCAAGTCCCCTAAAGTTCCAGCCGCCTTGGTGGCATCGTCTAAGCTCCGGAGGCAGTGGGAGAGCTTAGTCAACTGCTTTGCTGCTGTGTAGCAGGGTTCACCACTTCCCAGTGGGTGGAGCGGTACTATCGTATTCCTCCCCTTCGTTCAGCTAATTCCTTCTTAGGGTCTATTACAGGGGTCCTCAAACTACGGTCCGCGGGCCACATGCAAATACAAATATTGTATTTGTTCCCGTTTTGTTGTTTTACTTCAAAATAAGATATGTGCAGTGTGCATAGGAATTTGTTCATAGTTTTTTTTTAAACTATAGTCCGGCCCTTGGTACTATGGTATTCCTCCCCTTAGATCAGCTAATTCCTTCTTAGGGTCTATTACTTTCAAAAATTCCATTCCTGATTCTAATGTCTGGAGAACTTTTTCCTGGTGCAAGTAACACAGACCCATGTCCAGCTGGCTTAAACAGTGTCCGTGAGGAATCTCTCTTCTTCTTCCTTCTTCCTTCCTCTTCCTCTTCCTCTTCTTCCTTCTTCTTCTTCTTGGATTTCAGAGAGGAAGGGAGAGGGAGAGAGAGATAGAAACATCAACGATAAGAGAAAATCATCGATTGACTGTCTCCTGCACGAGCGTGAAACCAGGGCATGTGCCCTGACCAGGAATTGAACCATGACCTCCTGGTTTATAGGTCAGTGCTCAACCACTGAGCCACGCCAGCTGGGCTCAGTTCTGCTTCTTTATGTTGGCTTCATTCCCAGGTGGTTCCTCCTAAAGATGGCCTCATCGGCTTAGAAACCTGAGCCCAAAGCGATGCTTTCCCCCAGTAGTTCCAAAGAAGTTCTGGAGAAATAACTCATTAACTCAATGAGAAAATACTCATTGATTCCACTTGGGTGATATGTGCTCATTCCAGGCCTCTGGTCGACCAGGCCTTTATCACATTCTTACCCCTGAAGCCAGGGATGGACCATCAACCCCCACCCAGACCACATGGACTGAGAAAATGGGGAAGGAACAATGGTTCCCCAAGGTCAAAGCAGGGTGTTCTTCTCATGAGGAGGACTGGGTGTTGGGCTGCAAAGGGAACAGACATCACACACTCATACATCCATGTGGAAATGCCAAAGCAATGGAACTCAAGAACAGGTCAGGATGGAGAGGCAGAGCTGAGACTTAATGGATTTACGGTGTGAGTTAACTCCAGGGAGTGCATCAGACTGCCAGGGGAGAAGATAAGGCAAAGGGGGCATGAAGACCTCCCATCAGGAGACAAGATTAGGACAGCAGCAAGAAGAGGAGGTCAGAGAGCCCAAACTAGGCACCTTAATGGTAACCTATAAAGACTGAGGGGTCAGGAGAATCGGCCAATGGGTCAAGTCGGTGAAGATACCTGGTGACAATTGAATTGTCTGACTAGCAGGTGGGCTGTGATCTGGTGGAGCACGTTGACATCAGAGGGTGGTTGAAACCTGATTGCAGGCAGTTAGAAGGCAGTGAGGAAAGGGGTAGAGATCCCAGGAGGCAGGGGAGGGGTGACTAGAAGCCAGAGATGATGGGGGAATGCACAATGGGAGTTGAGGGTGACCAGGGCTGGGATTCCAGGAAGGGTGGCTGCTTGTGCCAGAAGAGGTCTGGGGAGGACAAATATCATGACCCTTGGAGTAAAGGGCAGGCAAGGCCACTTATTGGAGACCACCCTAGCAATGAAATCTGAGGAGAGGACCTAGGTGCCCGGAGTGGCAGGGATTGGAGAGCAGGGTACAGAGGGCAGGAACAAACAGTGACACACACAGAGGTATTGTGAGGTGAGGTGACATCTTGGTCACTGCATCATGGTACCAATTGTCCAGCCTGTCTTACGGGTGTGGTTCGCATGACATGGAAATAAGCACATCTTTTAAGAATTTTTTTTGAGATGTAACATACATCCAGTCAGGTACATATAGTGCACGAATCTCAAGTGCACAGTTGATTGTTTACATATGTATACATCTGTATCACATAAGGTTCCCACCTGCCCCTTCCCAGTCCATAGAGACCCCTAGGGGTAACCTCCATTCTGACTTTGTCATCTTCAATTTAGTCTGTTCTTAAACTCCACGTATATGGAATCCTATAGTGTGCACTCTGGTCTGGCTTCTTCCATCCATGTTGTTGCATGTATCAATGGTTCCTTTTCTTACTGCTGGGTTACTATTCCATTATGAATATATGAATATACCACAGTCTATTCATTCTATTGGTGATGGGCACTTGGGTTATATCCAGGTTGGAACTATTATAAATAAAGTGAATGTCTTTTTATTGATTTCAGAGAGGGAGAGATAGAAATGTCAATGAGAGACACATCTAATGACTGCCTCCTGCACACCCCACGCTGGGAATCTAGCCTGCAACCCTGGCATGTGCCCTGACCAGGAATCAAACCCTGGGACCTCTTGGTCCATGGGACGATGCTCAACCCATTGAGCCATACCAGCCACGCAAAATGAATGCCTTTTTTTTTTTCTTAAAGAATTCTTATTCTTTTTCACTCTCCTACATGCAGAGGTCCTTGCACAGGTACCAAAGCAAGCCAGCCCCCTCTGGGAGGTCAGGCCATGGGTCTCCCCTCGCCCCTCTCTCTGGGCACATGTTGTCCTGGGAAAGTCAATTTCCTCACGCGTATGGGGTACAGGGTGTGAGGAAGGGAAGCAGAGATACCCTTCCTAAGACTTACTCCCTCTCTTCTAGCCTCCTCACCCCTGACCGCGGGTGCCCTGAGCCTTCCTGATCCCGCAGGGGGGCTCACCCGCGGCCCCCCATGAGTGCACCCGGTTGA